TTGCCAGTGCTCTCGTATAGAGAGAGAGCCGCACAGAAAAACAGAGACCGAGAGGAACACAGAGGGGGAGAGAGAGAGAGAGAGAGAGAGAGAGAGAGGACGGAAGAGTAGGATTCACTGAGACCACAAGGATCAAGAGAGCAACACCAATCTCCATGAGAAGGACGGCAAGGGGTTGTTCAGAAGAGGCAATCTATGGGCATAACAGTCTTTTGTGTTCTTCAACATCCTACAACAGGAAAAAAAAAAAAAGCGATGCCCACATCAAGTGGGATGCTCGACCACAGGGCATGCTCTCACTGCCCTTTATCCCATTCACTTCACATCCCATCATTCCATCATCATCATCATCATCTGTAGGTGGTTAAATACAGCGCCCTGCTCGCACAATTCCATCCACCATCTCACCCCCCTACCCTACATACGGTGGTACAAAACTGACAGATGACGTTTCTACCCAGCTAGACAGTAAAGACTGACCTTCCCGCATCGACGGTACGACGCATCGCGCAAGCGCAGAGAGCTGACACCCCTCCATTCTCTCCACCAAAATAACACACCGACAACCGAGATCCGAATGGGAATGCTGATTGCACACACACACACACACAGAGAGAGAGAGAGAGAGAGAGAGGAACACATGCAACCCGACAACTTGGGGGATGAAGGGCACAGACAGACGTTACGGCCGAAGAAGGAGACAGACCCAAGTTCGAACCCTCCAAAACTCGAGTAAGTTAAGCTTTATCGCGGAGAAGCCCTAGGGGAGTTTGCGAAAGTCGGGAAACTTGAGAGAGAGAGAGAGAGAGAGACCGAGAGAGAGAGAGAGAGAGCATTTCTGCGACTACGGAAAAGAGTGCAGAAATAACCGAAGAGAGAAGATGACAGAAAAAGAACGTAATGCCAAGCTTCTGCCAAGAAGGAACCACTGGGCAAACAACAAACAACATCGCGATGAACTTCGCCCATTTACTCCACATGTATAGAAGAACCAGGCCCAGTTGAAATCCTTCTCCCCACATATATAATTCACACCTTCCACCCATCGCTGGCCCACCTTCCTCCCACTCTTTACCCCTCACTATTCCCCCTCCCCCCCTTCTTCAGCACCTTATTCTTTCCCCCCCTCCTCCCCCCCAACTCTTCCCCCTGCACTCTCTCCCTAGCTGCATCCACTTTCTCTGTCCAATACCCGTCTATGACAAGACTCACCGGGTCATCTCTCTCTCTCTCTCTCGATATATAAAATAATACCGAGCACCTTACCTTGCCAACCAATGATAGTAATAATCAATAGTGATAACCTTTAGGCAGCAACAACTGGATGATGTCTTTTGGCTTGCATCTTGCATCTTCGTCCCTTTACGCTTTGAATACCTCTCATCAATCCACCAAGAAGCCGATTGAGTAACACAGCGCTGTGAGTACCGGTCGTTGCACCTCCTCGGCGACCAACGACCGGTCGTTGCACCTCCTCGGCGACCAACGACCGGTCGTTGCACCCCGAAAATCACCCCCGACTTCAGGCTCTTTTGACCGGCCACATGCCAAGAAGATCAGCACGAAGAACACGTGCGAACGAGAGCTCAGGTACTGGAAGTAGAAAAAGACCCCGTGGAAGTCGTACTTATCGCGCGGATGGCGTCCTTAGTCGTATTTCCTCCTCGGCGACCGACCGAGATAAAAGTTGTATTCCGAAGACAACGAGGCGCGGTGCTGAGTCACTACTCCCCTCTATAAAGAGGCAGACGCATCCTAGTTTTCCTCCTCGGCGACCGACCGGTCTTTGCACCCCCCTCTATAAAGAGGCAGATGGCGTCCTAGTTTTCCTCCTCGGCGACCGACCGGT